CCTCATAGGTGGTGGAAAAGGAGGGCGTCACCTGCACCCCTGACGGCCTCGAGGCCGTGGTGTTCACCGCGGACGGGGACATGCGGCAGGTGGGCGGCGCGGCGACGAAAACAAGTGCTCGCGCGCGCGGGACCGATTGATGAGGTGCTGACCACCTGGGTTTTGGTCGGAACATGCTTCTATGTACATTTGGTTTTCGATCTCGTTCGTGCGTGGGAAGTTTTGCGCAAGGGGGACAGGGAAGCAGCTTCGCCTGTCAGTAACCTGCAGTTACTGCCTTGGTGCGGTTGCCTGCACCTGTATCCAACGTCCTGCTCTTCACCTCATCTGACCTTTACGCGCCGGGCTGCTGTCTGCAGGCCCTCAACAACCTGCAGGCCACCCACACCGGCTTTGGTGACATCACCCAGGACAACGTCTTCAGGGTGAGGAGGGAGGGGGGGCATACCCCCCTGCGCGTCAAGCGTGGGCGGTTCGGCGGACCAGCGTGCGCCTCGCCCGCCGCAGCAGCGCTCGCACAGTGGCCGGCGCCGGCGCCGCACGCCTGCACGAGGTTTCTGTCGTCAGCGGGCGGCAGCCAGCCCGATTCCCACAACCTGCAGCATGCACCATGTGTTGCAGGTCTCATTCTACTCTGATTTTTTTCCCAACTTTGCCGCCGGCCGCCAACCCCAGGTGTGCGACCAGCCACACCCCACGCTGATCCGGCTGGTGCTGCAGTGCTGCGTGGCGGGGCGGCTCGAGGAGGCGTACACGCACATGAAGGCGCTGTGCGACCAGGGGTACAGCGCAATGGACATCATCACAACGCTGTTCAGGGTGAGGGGAGGGTATTGCAAATGTGTGGAGTGTATCTCTGTATGGAGTGGGCGTGTGTGCTTGCGTACGCGTTTGCTGTGTGTGCGTGTGTGTGCATGTGTGTGCGTGTGTACACGTGCGTGCACGCTCCCGCCCGGACATGCGCGCATGTCTGGGGAGCAGCGACTACAGGGCGAGCATGATGGGCCATTGATAGCTGTGATTGCGCTCTGACGTGTCACAGGCATGTTATCGCCGCAGCCAGGCCTCTGACGGGCCTGCGTTGGGCCAGAGCGCAGCTGTCGACCCCAAAGTACTCTTCATCCCAAGCGCACACTGCCTACCGAAGCCCACAC